CACACACACACACACACACACACACACACACACACACACACACACACAAAGAAAGAGAGGGGGGGCCGTGAGTTCATCGCCTCTTTACGACCGAAGCCCTGTGTTTAGGATTTCACACACAGTTCCGACGTCAACGCCATCTATTGCTAATAAAGGGAAGCGATGATCAATAAATTACGCTGGCATTAATTTGAGTGACATTATGGTGTGATTGCATAATTTACGTGCATTTTATGTAGCGATGCGTGCGAGTTAACATCCAATGATGGTGTCGCGATATGTTCGTATGTCATGCTGACTCGGTGATTGATACCGGCGCATATTAATTTACTGCGAATAGTTTTTAAATGTCGACAGAATTACGCTCGTCTACTGTCAACGTAAAGACAAGATGGCGCAAGTAATATATGTAATATATATATATATATATTCGTGAGCTTTGGATTTTGTTATTTTAATTGCTGGTTAAAGGATTGTAGGAGCAGATATTGGATATGATACAGACATCTACACACGCGTGCGCACGCACGCGCGTACATATGCACGCACGCACACACGTACTCATTCATGCACGTATGCACACACGTACGCACTTGCCATTATTCCTCCACCTACTATATAAGGTGACGCCGGAACTTCCAGTTATTTGCGTGAAGACGACTGAACAACACTGCAGCTGCAAGAGATAGCAGCGCCATCTCGCGTCGTTGAGTGCAATAATAGACGCGTAACCAAATTGCTGGTTTTACTGCTCGCCATTTCCCATATATATGTATGCTACGTATGCATGACAGGAATGCAAGGCAATTATTCAACGTAATTTGCGAAACGAACGCTAGGTGAAAGTGAAATTCACGCATTATGTTGATGTTGATGTTCACGAAAGTGATGTTCACGTGTTATACCGCGCAATGCTGTGTAAAACATATGCATTCAAGCGAATTAGCTAAAAAATACAAGCGATATAGCTATTCTTCACACATACATTTCTCCACAAAGGAGTATACGCGGTCGGTTCTTAATTTCTATGTAAAAGTTTACGTTTGATATGTACTCTTTCTGTAAAATTATATCTACACGATTCGACTGAATCGCGGGAAACCGAAAGTATATGAGAGCAAATTTTGCACAAGGGAGAGATAGTGATCCGCTAGGGGACGGCTCGGATTGGCTAATTTTGTCTCTTATTTAATTTTATTATTTTTTGCTAATTTTGTTTTATTTTAGAATTAGGGTTAGGGTTAGGGTTAGGGTTGGGGTTAGGGTTAGGGTTAGGATTAGGGTTAGGGTTAGGGTTAAGATTAGGGTTAGGGTTAGGGTTAGGGTTAACTGATTTCTATGTCCACAACACACTAATAATGCGCCATCTAGCGGATCACTATCTCTCCCCTGAGACCTACTATATGAGAGCCTAACAGCCATTTAATTGTCTCGTATGGTAACGTCGCTGTACATGTACGAGCCCAGTAACGTCGATGTACATGTACGAGCCCAGTAACGTCGCTGTACATGTACGAGCCCAGTAACGTCGCTGTACATGTACGAGCCCAGTAACGTCGCTGTACATGTACGATCCAAGTAACGTCGCAGGCTCACGGGCGATGCATGGGGGAGGGGATAATGAGCGAAATTAGATCATGGTGAGCTATACATCCGCGCACTCGTATATATTAGATCGTATATATCTAGACGTACGAGGAAAGCTTACGTTACGGTTAATAGTTGTACAACATGCAGTAGAGGGCGTCCATAGGCAGCAATCCTGAATGAGCATCGAACAGAAATTAATTAAAAATATACTCAGAGAGTTTCGTCGCATACAAAACATACACTTTATTCATTCTAAATAACCACAGATTCAAGTTGAAAAGCTGACTTAAATGTAACCGCGAAGCAACCTTCTACCAAATACTGCATGCGCAGGCAATTGCCTCATATCATATATATGTACGAGCCCATGCATGCAGTAACGTCGCAGGCTCACGGACGATGGATGGGGGATAGTGAGCGAAATGAGAACATGGTGAGCTATACATCCGCGCACTGGTATATCTAGACTCACGAGGAAAAGCTGACTTAAATGTAACGGCGCAGCAAAACCTTCCATAAATACTGCATGCTCAGGCAAACACACGCAGAAACACTGCGCCGGTGCGCGCCATTATTATGTCCAGCGAGTTCAGTTGTGCGCAAAATACGCGGGCTCTCTCGCACTACACACAGTATGATCACGATTCACGAGGGTGCTGTAACATTGCACCGGCACAAATGACGTCAGCACACGTACACGCACTTATTCGTCATCTAATAATCAGCGTATGACAACGTTAGGTCTACAGCTCATTAATGCTGTGCACTGTATATCGGGAAATATTGCTGAATCGATTAGGCGCGACGAGCATATGAAGATATACGCTGCGCACTTTTATTAGAACTATCATATAATTGATCAGTATTGATATCACGCATGTGCACACGCGTGTACGCACGTATACACGCACGCACGCACGCACGCACGCACGCACGCACGCACGCACGCACGCACGCACGCACGTACGCACGCACGCATGTACGCACGCACGTATGTACGCACGTATGCACGCACGCACGCACGCACGCACGTATATACACAAGCACGCACGCACGCACGCATGGACGTTCGCACGCACACACGCATGCATGCACGCACGCACGCACGCACGCACGCACGCACGCACGCACGCACATGGTGGAGCGCATACACCGCTATACGACACGACGCTGGTTGCGCGCGCCTATACGCGTACATGTACCTGTTGACATACACGTACGTACCTACATCTGCGCGTCGGCAGCATCACGGAAAAGCACATCAGCGCGATTGTTTTTCGCGTAACAGCTGGGCCCGGCTGCCGCGCGCACACAGCAGCGGGAGCGGGAGCGGGAGCGGTGGGGGAACAACGCCAGGTGTACGTACGCGGGGAGGCAGCCGAGTGTAAGCTGCCCGCTCAATACTCACATTGTCTTCCGATCCGCGAGTGGCCGCGGACTCGTGATGAGCGCAGTGCGGAGTACGCACACACACCACACACACACACACACACACACACACACACACACACACACACACACACACACACACACACACACACACACACACACACACACACACACACACACACACAC